ATATATATATATATATATATTCACAAACCAAAATATTAAAAATAGTATCTCTAGAACGATGGTTGGCTTTTATGTTCTTTCATATCTTTATTTTCACCATTGAACACGTATTAATATTTTGTAATGAAAAAAAGAACACATTAATTTATTAAATGTCTTTTTTTAAAGATTGATTTATTTATGCATACAAGGACTGGGGTACAAGCCAGAGGTGCGGGGGCAGGGGGTTTGTGGGGGAGAGAAGGGTGAGAGGATTCACCAGAGACTGAGTGGGGAGCAGAACAAATGGCTGCCAAGTGCCTCAGCTCCCTGGCTGGGAATCAGACTGCTGCAGTGGCCACTGATAGCTTCACAGTGCTGCGCTTCAACCCCCTTCCACCACCAGGGAGGGCCCAAGATGATGCCTTTTTTATCTTTCAATAAAACCTCTTAGAAAAAATCCAGACAAGCTTGAAAAAATTAACCTAGATGAATCTGAGTGGAGTGTTCCATTTGAAAACCCATTGATCTGACTGTAACTTTGTTTCCCTTGCCCCTAGGGGGACACTTCTGGAGACTACAAAAAGGTACTGCTCATTCTCTGTGGAGGAGAAGATTAAAATCAAGTCCCAAAAGGATTAGAGGATTCCCAATGCTTTGAAAATTTTTTAACTTCATTTTTCTACACTGCTATTAACATTATCTCAGCCTGCTTATTTCCAATTAAAAACGCCTACAGATGCCTCCTAGGATGCGGACTGTCTGTATTATGATTCATCTGTAATTAGTCACTATGCTTTAAAGCTGTACTTGCATTTCAAAGCCTATAAAACTTAAAAGGAGATTTAAAATTAGAATTAAATATGTACTCCACTTCTTTAACAGATTTCTTGTGTGTTTGTGTTTCACAGAATTTGGAATATATTAAACTATTGCATGTTTTCTACTAGTTAATTAAATTATGAAAGATTGTTCTAGAATCACCTTTCTTCACTAGTTCTACTATTTTGGAGTGGTTAGTACTATCTGGTTTTGAAATTGTGAGCATCTAGCTCATAAGACTAACCTTCAGTTTTGCTACTTCACACATAGTTTGAAAACATCTACGGCTCTTAAACTTTGATTAAAGTTAGTTCATAATACTAGTTGGTCTTTACTAAGTTTGATGTGGAAGAGTTCCTTCGTCTCATCTTATATGAAGGTTACTTACTCCTCCCAGGTTGAAATACATCAAAATCACCAACTTGTCTGCACAATTTAAATTCTGAGCGTATTTTAAAGATAATATGTGCCTGGTTATCAAATATAAATGCTGAACATTCCACAATAGTATGGTTGAATGTCTTACTCTAGCTTGAAGAAGAATAGGAAAAGAATAAATGCACTAAGTACTCTGGTGATGGATGTAATGATCAGAATTTACTTTTACTTAAAGGAAATATGTGTGTTCATGCTAAAAATAATTTTTTAATTATTGATTTTGTTGATTTGCAGTAATGTACATTTCAACTCTAAGATTACTCTGAAAGTGCACTTGGACTTAATTCAAAAGTTCAGTTTGTATACAACGTAGAAAAATAATTTTAATAAAACATGTTATCTTTCCTGATTGGCTTTCCTACTTTTGAATTTTTTCCTGGACCCTGAAAGGAGATATTTTTGAATGACCCATGCCATTGAAAGTTTCTATCAAGAACTACTACATTACAAAAAAAAACAAAAAAACCCTGTCTAGTCTTCTCTGTCCCTACTCCTATAAAATTAATCTCCCTATATACCTAACATCAGTGATATAAAATAATGCATCTAACTTAACCTGGGGAAATGAGTGCTGCTGTCTGTTCTACTAAGTAGAACATTTATGCTTAAACAAGAATATTTGTCTTCTTTGTTAAATCTATAATTGATATATCTTGATAGATGAAATATAAAATTGTTTCTATTTGCCAATTATAAGTGGTTGAGCTATTGGTGAAAGCTATTTACATGAATACTTAGTGATTCCAGTTAAAGGAAAAAGTACTACTGTTTCTGTTACCTGCCCGAAAAGCATGGAATCTCCAAATCAACTTTCATTGATATCAGAAGCATTACAGGGTTTTTTTGTTTTTTGGTTTTTTAGTTTTATCTTTATATTATCACTTAGCAAAAATTTTAAAGTGCTTATTTGCACTTTTTGATGGGAAGCTTTCTAGAACCCAGGATAAAGCTACCCTGGAGAAATGTTTATTGAACAAGCATGACTTTGGAATATAATTATGTAGCAATGCTGCTTTTTTATCCCAGTGTCCATTTACATTTATCCAGTGGACCTGGCTCTCCTGTCTTTAAATAAAAATTCAGACAGAAAGGATGTAATTTTTGACTTTTCTCATCACTCTAATGTCTTAAAAAGTCCAACCCTGCCATCTCTTATGTTAATAAAACAGTGTAATTAATACATCTTGTCAAAATTCTGAATTTGTTTTAAAGTTGAGACACCTTCCCTCATTCAGCTCTAGCATACTGCCAGCAGAAATCTGGCTTTTGAAGAACAGAACCATCAGCTGATTCCTCTTCTTCCACCCAGGCTTATTTCCACACTTTCCCCACACCCCAACTATGCCTGGGTGGTAGTAGTAGGAGGAGGAGCAAGGAGAATAGAGGTGAGCACCTGAAGTTATTACCTGACTATTACTGATATGGCAGTGAAGGAGCAGCATTATGTGACTTTGGCAGATGTTTAAATCTGATTCTCGTGTATATACCCCTCCCCCTTCCTTTATGAACCCTTTCATTCATCTTTTGTTCAAAGGAAGGCATTTGCAAGGTAAATGCAGTTCTCCTTTTTCAGCCCCCGAGGAATTCCAATGACATCTTTTCTGAGCTCTCTTGGCTGATGTCTGTTTGTCCTCTGTTTGTCCAGGACTCTTAGAGAGGATCTAAGATAGCCCCATGCTTGGCTATCTCATGTGGGCCCATAGGAAACACTTGCACTTTGTGCTTATAAATTATGAGTTTGATGTTGAACCCCTTGCAGCCATCATTCTCTGACCCTTCTGATTAATGCCACACACCTCTCTTCCATTAAACTGCTCAACAGCCTCTGTAGGCTTAGATTTCTTAGGTGTGAATCAGACATCAGTCCCTCAGAGGACCCAAACTACATAATCTGCTGATGGGAATAAACCTGGTGCAATTATTTCAGAGACCAACTTGGCGATAGCTAATTGAAAAGTTCCCAATAAATCCACTTCTAGGGATCTATTTGGTGGTCTTTTGCACTTGGTGCTTATTACTGCTCTGTAAAACCATTAAAGTAGAAATAACCTAAATCCCACAGTAAGGGAAAGCATAAACAAATAATAGACTAGTTACACAATAAACAGTGAAAATTAACTAGCTCTATCTCGGTATCTTAAAGGAGAAATTTGAAATATGGTGTCGCAACAGGTCAAATTGCAGCACTATAGAGATATCTGCAGCCATTGTACCACCAGTCAATCCTAGGCCAGAGAGGTGACCCACATGGCAAGGCAGACTGCTCCCCTCAGCAGTATATTTCACTCTGCCTGTTCTCTCCATTCTGTCTCTGGTGAACCTTCTCACCCTCTGCACTTCTGGCCTGTACCCCGGTTCTTGTACTGGCCTGTACCCCGGTTCTTGTACGTATAAGTAAATAAATCTTTTTTAAAAATGTGTTTTCATTACTTTTTTACAAGTAGCAGAAGGCAGTCGTAGAGGGAAAGGAGGCTGTCCACAGTCCATTAACAACGATTGGACATTCCAGGCGGACACCCATAAATTCTGCCAGGTCTTCCAGAAGGCACTTTTAGCCCCAGCAGTCGTGGTAACATAGTATATTCAGACATCTCACTGCCACTGGGAGGGGAGGAAAGGTGTGCTGGTGTTGGCATAACTGGTGGTGGAGGATTGACATTTAAGAAACCTAGGACGAGCGAAGATCCACATTCCAGATCCCGTGTCCTGGAAATTTACGCCCCCACCTCTCCAGTGTGTGCGGGGTACCTGCGAAGAAGACCCCACGCTCCTGGCTCCTTCTACAGAGCCCTGTAGGTATCTGGAGCTCCAGGAATCTTTATATAGAGAATGAGCGGGAATTTCCAGTTTTGCCAACACACTGGGTGTGGGAAAAGTAACGCTAAATGCTAGAGCTGCCCACACAGACCAGGGCAGGTACGGGTCCCGGTCTAGTGCCCAACAGCACATCCGAGCACACCCGAGCACAGCCCCCCGCAAGCCCCGCCCACTCCCTACCTCGTTGCGTCCTGCGCAGGCTCCACCCGCCACGCACACACTCCTTTCCCTGCCTCTTCCGGGGGCTCGTCGCGCGCTTGCGCGCTTGGGTCGGCGCTTTGTTGCGAAAGCCGGGGGGCGAGGTCCGAGTGCGCCGCGCGGCCAGACGCTGCGGGCGGGGCGGAGGATGGAAGTGGTAGCTGCAACGGTTGGGGCTGCGCGTGAGAAGGTGGCCGCGTAGGACCAAGGCTCGGTGGGGGCCGGTGGCGACGAGCGGGCTATGGCGGGAGACCGTTTCCTCTGGGTTCCTTGAGGTACTCTCCTGACGCCCCGGGGAGCCGTAGCCCATGGGCTCGCTGAGCAGCCGAGTGCTGCGCCACCCCGGGCGAGCCAGAACGCAGCAGGAGCCGGGTTCCGGATCGGGGGGCTCGACCCGAAGGCCGGAGACGGGCGGCGACTCGGCCGGACACGGCTTCTGTTACTGCCCCGGCAGTCGCAAGCGCAAGCGGAGCAGCGGGGCCTTCTGCTACTGTCACCCCGACTCCGAGACCGACGAGGATGAGGAGGAAGGGGACGAGCAGCAGCGGCTCCTCAACACCCCTCGGAGGTACGTGGGGGGTGCGCCCACACTGAGCCGCCTCTGCACCTGTTGGACCGCTCGGTTGGCCCGGCCGGAAGCTGTCCCTTGCCCGGTGCGTCTAGGGGGTGCGGTGCTCGCTCAGCCTTTTGAGGAGCCGAAGTGCCCTTGACAGGGTTAAGGTGGGAGCCAGCGGCGCGATGCTGGGCGGACTGTGAGTGCTTTGGGAGAAGCCTGGCGCTCTGGATTATAAACCCACAGACGCTGCCACCAAACGAGACTGAAAAATGCCACGCCAGTGTTTGCGCCTCATTAAACCTTTGAGACACTGGCCGGTTGCCTTTCCGTTTTCCTTACACCTTTGTGTCCTCGGGGTGGGTTGCAGTAGAGTAAGTTGTTTGCATCCGGCTCCTTAAATAGTGCGGACACGTAAATTTAGTCTGATTTGGGCCACTACGTCCACTCAGTGGAAAGGAAGTGATTGCACACAAGAGTTCATAACTGTAAAGATGAAGTTCATTAGTTCATTTATTCCTAGCTGGGGAAAAAAAAAAAAACCTCAAGAGTTTCTAGTCCTTAAATGTTCATCGTGGATGTGTATAGGCTTCACCTTTTCTTTGAAGAATGGAAAACATTTTTTCTGACATAGTTACTGTACATGTTACTTGGGTTAATTGATTTATGAAATTATCCATACCCTTATGGATGAGTGTATTTGCTTCCAAAAATGAGCTTCCACTCTTACTGTTCAAAACTTTTTGAAGAGTCAGTGTAGTATAGTTTTAAGAACTCACATTCTGAGTTCTAGTCTGTATTCTGAACGTTAGCCTTATTTTTTCATAAGTAAAATGGAGATCCTAGTAATATCTCCATTATAATCAGATCTTTATAACTCCTGACAGATTTGATAATGCATACAAGGCACAGTGCTTGTTGTAAATATTATCTACTTGATGAATTGACCCCTTTATCATTACAAATGTTTGTTTTTACCCCTGATAGTATAGCCACTACCAGTTTCTTCTGAGAAGTGTATAAGTAGTATAGAGTTTTTCATGGTTTCCCTTTTTACTTGTATCTTTATATTTAAAATAGGCATCTAATAGAAAGCATGTAAGTTGGGTCTTGCTTTTTTAAAAAAATGCAGTGGGGTTATTCTCTATCTTATAGTACTTAGACCATTTATATCTGATGTAATTTTTGAAAGATACATGTCAGAGTAATTTGAAAGAGAAACCACACGGTAATTTAAATTTTTAATATAACTATTATTAAAATGTAACCTGAAATTAACTACTAGACATAAACAACTGAGGCAAGGAGCTCTCCAAAAACGACATGATTAGAAGATGTTTGGAACAAACATTACTTTTAAGACTGGAGAAAGAATACCCAAGGAAGGACTAAATTTGGAATAGGACTGCTTTTCCCAACCAGAGATTCAGGTGCTTGAGGAGGTGTGGCTGTAAGCTGCAAGATGGTAGAATAGTTTATTATGGTGTGGTAGACTGAGGCTGGCTAGTAGAAAACTGCCCACTGGGCAACAGAATTTGATTGGAGGCCATCTGTTTCACAAAGCTGAAAATATTTACTGTGTAGATAGACTTTTACAGAAAAAGTGCTCATCCCTGAGAGTTGACTGAAATGGAAAATCTTTAAAGCAAACTTCTATTAGAAAGTGTACATCAGAATTTAGTATGTTGTAAATCAGTGGAAGATGCTGGACTTATTCAGCCCCTCATGAAGGGGTTAAGAATTAATTACACCTAGACATTGTGTGTTCTAACTAATATGCTTTCTAAGGTTTCTGTGTTTGCTCTCCTATCTCAGTCAACTAACTACTCCCTGAAAATCTGTGACTTCCAGACTCACCTTACACATCATACTTTTTAATAACTGCTTGTTTTACTTGTACATTGACGAAACTACTAAAACTCAACTATTTTGTAGCCAGGTCTTGAGTGTTTTCTCTATAGGTTTAAATCTAGTAAATATTTGTTGTCATAATATGTAAATATTGTTCAGTGCAGAGTTAAGTAGTATGCCAGGATTAGAAATCATATTGTGTGTAGTGTCACACAACCCCTTATTTTTCCCTTGATAGAAATTTTTCTACACTCTGGTTTAAATAGAATCTTACATTCCATCATGTGCTTAAATTTGGGTCCTGGTTTTGTGTTACCTTACTAGGACAGTACCTTTTTGTGTTGCCTACAGTTTCTAACTGGCCCCCAAACCCTTGAAAAAGATTAATATTCATTATATTTTCATATTTTTCTCTTCCCAAACACACTTACATGGAGTCCTCATCTAAAACTAACTTTCCTACTGGATCCCTCTGTCCTCTTCCAACCTGGACCTCCGCCTCTCTATTTATCCTGGAACTTATTTTCATCTCTAGGATTGGATCCACTGTTTTCTGTAGGCTTATCTTTTTTTTCACTTATTTTAGGGAACTTCATCCGCAATTGGGATGAAGGAAATTCTAAGAGTGCAAAAAGGTAATTGTGCCTACCTAAGCAAATTTCTCTTAGAGAAATACGATGTTAAATTCATTCTCTTCTTTTTAGGTAAGTTTTATTTTCACCTCTAGAACTTATGGCAATTTTTCCATCCTCAAAAAAATTAACTAGGATGTACATAAGCATAGGTCTCTTAATGGATTTACTGGTGGATTACAATCTGGAGACTACTTGTTTGAAGACCCTTCCATTAATTTCTTCCATAATTTTCTGTCTCCTATCAAATATGGATTTCCCCTTATTTGGATTTTGGATTTCTTATATTTTTACCTTTTCTTTTCCTTTCTAAGTCCTTTTTACTTTATGTACTAAAAAACTGCTCAACTTGTTAAACTTTAGATTTTTCATTCCAGCAACCATGTTTTTGCTCTCTTAGAACTATTTTCCTTGTTCAGAGTAATCCTTTATATTAGTATCCTTGTTATTTTATGAAAGTGATAATTTCAGATCTGTAGATGCAGTGACTAGAATTTTTGGGGTTAGTGTGTGTGTTTTTTTTTAGTTGTCTTTCCTTCAAATTATTTATTTCCTCTGGGGCCAGTTTTCCTTTCTTTTCTTTAATGGTCTTTAATACTCCCAATTTTCCTCATGTTGGGTAATCCTTGGTTGTCTGTTTATATTTAAGACTGAATAACTGGGTTGTTTATATGTGTGTGTTTTAATTAAACAATAGCTGTATTTCTGCTAAGCCTCCCTTTAAGTAGGACGACTAACTGCTAATTTGGGTATATTAATAGATGGGAGGCTTTGTTATCGAACAATATTTTCTTGGTTCACAACACCCTTAGTGTATCAGTTTTTTTTTTTTTTTCCCTATGTCATTTCTGGTCCTAAAAAAACAACAACAAAAAACCTCATAGTTAGGCCTAAACAATATTTGTAGATTATATCATATCTGCCAGCTGTTGATGTGTTTCCTTCAAATTTTAAATTTACATCCCTAAGTGTGCTGTGGTGTTTTGTGTGCTTTGGCATACAATATAGAATAAATGGTTTGGAAGAGCTAATAGGTTACAGATTCCTCAAATATCAGAATGAGGAGTACTTTGGTGAGCCAACTCCTACACTAAGGCCTTCCTGGTACATTTACTCCTTTTAGAAGCACCTTGGAATCTTTTCACTCGAGTTGTCTGTATTTCTATTATCTGAACTCTTGTTTCCTCACACTTAACTTGTACCTTTTGTTTCCCCTGAGACTCCATCCTTACAATCCCAAGAGTATGAAAAGTAGATGGGCTTCAACCTCCATCCTAGATTTTCATAATATATTTTGTGCTATGACTGTCAGTACTAATTTCCAGGTCTATAGATTCTCTCATGAGGTGTTAAGCTCCTCATCACCTTTTTGCATTTATAGGCTTATTCCTTTTTGTACTGTTGATGTTCTAATGTAATTGGAGAAAAGTGTTAATCAGGAACTAGAAACTACATTTTCTCATTTATCGCAGTGTAGTAATATTAATGTCCTCTCTTTACATCTAGGGTAACAGCTGTGGTGGGAAATAGAGTTTAAACCCAGTTTGTCTTTTCACCACCAAAGCATTTGCTGTCTTTGCTGTCTGTTGGGGGAAAATGTTAAATACACTGATTCATGATAATATCTGAAACAATTTATTTTTAAAAGATTTAAAATTTTAAAAATTAGAAAAACTATCAGGTTTGACAGGGAACATAAAAGATATTGGCCTTCTGGCCCTCCCTGGTGGCGAAGCGGGTTAAAGCACAGCACTAAGAAGCTAAAGCCACTTCCTCATGAGTTCGATTCCCGCCTGCCCTGGAGGTGAGCACATGGCATGGAAGACCTCTCCTGGTCCGCCGGCAGCTCCCCTCAGCAGTGTACTTAGTCGCTCTGCCTGTTCTGCTCCCCACTCTGTACCTGATGAATCCTCTCACCCTCCGCATCTCTGCCTGTACCCCAGTTCTGTATGAATAAATAAGTAAATCTTAAAAAAAAAAAAAGATATTGGCATTCTTCTGCCTACAAGTTTTCTAATTTACAGAATCATCTTAAGTAAAGATTATCAAACTTTAAAATGTAGGTTTTTCTTTCAATTGAACCTTAAGCAGAAACTCAAAATGTTTACAAATATAATACATGATGCTGCTTTGTTTAAAGTTAGGTGGTATATCTAGGATTCATTGCTCAGCTTTCCTTGATGGCCCTTAAGACTTCTACTTAAGCAATGTTTTGTTTTTAAAGATTTATTTATGCATAACTGGGATACTGGCCAGTGCTGCAGGGGTAGTGAGAGAATTCACCAGAGACAAAATGGGGAACAGAACAAGCAGATTGACAAAGTACACTGCTGAGGGGAACAGCAGGCTAGACAGGAGAGGTCTGCTGGGCCCTGTGGGTCACCTCCCTAGCTGGGACTGAACTCCTGCTGCAGTGGCTCTGTGCCTAGCTTTGTAGTGCTCAATTTTAACCTGTTGCACCACCAGGGAGGTCCTATGCTTGAGCATAGTTTTGTAAATCTCTGCTCTAGTGTTAAAAATCATTGTGCGATAGCGAGGGTGGTGAAAGAAGTACATTTAAACTAGCTTAGGAATAATTTGGTAAATTATCCTTTTAGATATAAAATCTTTTTAAAATGGCCTGTGTAGGTAAGTATATATTCTCTTTAAAATGGCCTGTGTAGTTAAATTTTACTTGTTTCTCCATTTTGTAGCTGCATAACAGTATTGTGACCCTCCATATGGCAGATTTTTTAATAAGGATATAAGCAAAATCATTATGCTGAATTATCTTTTTGATGTTGTTGAATAGGTAATTAATTCACTTAATTCAAAAATTGAAAGTTGGAAAATGGTGTGCAGTGAAAAGGCCTTTCCCAATGCTATCCCAGTGTATCCACTATTTATTTATCTTGTGAATAGAACATCCCAGAGATAATCGCTATTGGATTCTATGTATTCTTTCATACATGAGTAAATTTTAATATATACTATCCCTTTATCCTTTACACTCTAGACAAAGTTGGTTTTATGTAATAGAAATTGAACAGTGGCATATTTAGAGTTCAGTTTTATCTGTGTATAACATTTTCATTTCTTTTAACAGGAAAAAATTAAAGAGTACATCCAAGTATATTTATCAGACATTATTTTTGAATGGTGAAAATAGTGACATTAAGATTTGTGCTCTAGGAGAAGAGTGGAGCTTACACAAAATATATTTATGTCAAGTAAGTATTTTTCAGTTTAAGTAAGTAGTCATTAAAAAACTCAAACATTTTAAAGTCAGTGTTCTTCTCATTGTATTTCATAATATTTTTCCTGGACAATAGCTGTTTAAATCATCTCATCAGCTAAATCCTCCATTTTATTACAAATCTGGCTAGCATTGTTAAAAACCTTAGTTCCTTCATTGTTGCACCAGCCTAACAATTCCTATTTGTCATTACTTCAACAAAGACTATCTATTGACAAAAAGGTTGGGGGGATAATTGTTTAAAGATTACTATATTTACCTATTTTGTATGGGTTAAGCTGGATAAATTCATCTGAAATATTGTTTTGTAGTTAAGATTTAATATGAATGGGAAGTTTTTAATACTCTTCTTTCTGTCCTAGAAATTGTTTAAAGATAAGACCAAAAATGTATACAGATTTAAGTCATTTAATTGATATATTTACTTGATTTCTGTGCTGAAACTACTACTATCTCCCACCCCATTTTAAAGAGTCATAACTTTTAAATCAAAACTATATTCATGGCTCTCAACATTTTACTCATTTATTCTTTTACCAAACTTAAGTGCCCAACATTGTTATAAGCTCTGAAAATAAGAGTGAACAATTCAGTTCTTATTCTGTGGAGCTTACATTTTTTCTCTGTTCTTTAAGTAAATAATTACTTAGCAGTAATTACCAATAAGGCAGAATAAGAGATTTTTGTAAAAATATCTGATTTTTTTCTCTGTTAGTCCTAATTTTTTAAAGATTATTTATAACAAGTTTACTTTGGCTTGACTTAAAATAATATATTGAGGCCCTCCCTGGTGGCACACGGATTAAAGCAGAGCACTGTGAAGCTACCACAGCTACTGTAGCATGAGTTCGATCCCCAGCCAGGGAGGTGTGACCCATATGGTGTGGCAGGCTTCTCCTGACCCACGCACTGTACCCCTCAGCAGTATATTTCAGTACATCTGCCTGTTCTGCTCTCTACTCTGTCTGTGGTTAATCCTCTCACTCCCCACACCTCTGGCTTGTACTCCAGTTATGAGTGCATAAATAAATAATTTTAAAAATAATAAAAATAAGCCCTCCCTAGTGGTGCAGCGGGCCAAAGCACAGCACTAAGAAGCTAAAGCTACTGCAGCATGAGTTTGAGCCCACCTGCTGGAAGTTGACCACATGGCGTGGCAGCCCTCTCTTGACCCACCCGCTGCTCCCCTCAGCAGTGTTCTTCGTCAATCTGCCTATTCCTTTTCCCACTCTTGTTTCTGGTGAATCCTCTCACCGCCCCTGCACCTCTGGCTTATACCCCAGTTCTGTATGCATAAATAAATAAATCTTTAAAAAATAATAATAAAATAAAAATAAAAGAATATATTGGATTAATTTAGTAGAATAGTTGCTTAGAGTTAGAAATGGGAAAATAATTTGAACACAGAAAATACTGGATAATTATTGTGCTGTGTGTTTTGTTTTGTTTTGTTTTTTTAAGTCTGGCTACTTTTCTAGTATGTTCAGTGGTTCTTGGAAAGAATCCAGCATGAATATTATTGAACTGGAGATTCCTGATCAGAATATTGATATAGAAGGTAACCATTATAATAATTCCTGTTATGTAAAATGATAAAAATACAACCTTTTATCTTTAATCTTCACTTTCCACCATGAAGTAATAACTTTTGTATATAATATATATATATGTGTAAAAACACAGTTGTATAAATTGCTTAGTAAGGTAGATTTTATTAAATTTGTTTATCTTCATAAATGTATCTACCTGGAATATAAAGTTTGTAGGGTAAAGGAAGGAAAAGTATAACCATTTCAAAAAACTGCTTTTAATTTTTAAAAAGTTGGTAAAGCTTCATTAATTATTCTGTATATTTGAAAACCTTTTCTGGAAACAGTAAGGATATGAACCATTAGTCAGTGTTGTTTTAGAGTTACAAGGGTATTTAGATGAGGACTGTGAAGTCTGGAGTATTTAGGGCCTTATTTTAGGTTTCAGAATAGCATAGTGAGTCTACAGCAGCCTGTTGTTTTCTTAATTCCTATTCCTGTGTCCCTTCTGATCCCCCTCATTGGAGAGCCCAAGTAGAAATACCTGTTACCTACCACATAAGCAAAGAAAAAAGTTAAGAATGCTTATAAGCAAAATCATGTGGGACATGCATGAGTGTGGCAGTGAAGATAAGGATGAATAGTAGCTGTGGCATGATAGGAAGAGAAACTACAAACTATGCTCCGTGATAGTGAAGCACTGAGAGGAAACACCAGGGTTAAGATTATCATTGTACTTGTACTTAATAATTGGTTTACATGGGTGATGGGGGTTCTTTCTAAAACTTTCTCCAAAGGTATCTTAATTGTCAACACAATGTCACGATTTGGTTTTACATTGCTATTGAATTAGTACTATCAATTAGTACTTTAATTAGCAGTATCTCTTTATCCTTTTTTATACATAACCAGATTTAGAGAAAATGACTTCTTGTATAAAGACTGTGATTGTTATTTTTGTTACACACACTTATAATTGCAATTTTATTCTGCATGTGTACTTTTGCTTTTAGCACTGCAGGTTGCCTTTGGGTCTCTGTATCGAGATGATGTCTTGATAAAGCCCAGTCGCGTTATTGCCATTTTGGCAGCAGCTTGTATGCTGCAGTTGGTAAGTATGCTCGGTAGTCATAGAAAGGATCACAGTTGCATCTTTTTTTTCTAAGTTTTCTCTTTCAAAAATAAAAATAAAACTTACTTTTTTTACAATTAAAAAAAGCATATGTGTAGATATATCATTTGTGTGGTTCTTTAAAATGCTTAACCAAAACTACAACTGAGGGGATTTTGATACCTATGTCAACTGAATACAAGTTCTTTCTTTGTAAGCATTTTAGTACAACTGTCCTGTGGAAAGAACTTACTTGTCTAAGTTCATTTACAGATTTCTGTTAAGGACTTAATTTGATTTATTAAGCAAATGGCTTATGATTGCCAATTCATTTATTTCATAGGTTCAAAAATACTGTGTTTACTATGCAAACTATTTCTTAAGCATTTCTAACTCATAATTCATAAGTGTATGTTAATTTCTTGGTAGAATAATGGATTTGTTCATTCTGCTGAAGTGTATTTGAGCACTGTATGAAATAGGCATAGAGATCTAAAAGTAAATTTATATAGACTCCACCTTCCAGGAGTTGTATAGGAGGGTTGATAGATAGGCCCAGAGGAAAAATGAAACTGTCCACTATTACAGGTATGACAATAAACATCTCACAGGATTTGGTGAATAGAGAGACAAGAGTGGTCACTTCTGGTGGTGTTAAGGAAGGGAAGTTAGGTTTGAAGTTGATTCTTGAAAACTGAAAATGTTTTTATCTTGCAACATAAGAACAGAAAAGGAAGAACATTTCAGAGAGTAAACTAAGACCTAAAATTCAAACAGTGGAATATTAGAGATTCTAAGTAGAACATGACTCTAACATAGAATATGCTAAAAGGGTTGAGAAAAAAGAAGGCAAATGCCAGTTCACAAACGTTCCTTTTACTCTTTAACAAGTTCAATTAAGATTTTACTCAGGGGGCCCACCCTGGTTGCACAGTGGGTTAGGAGCCAGCACTGCAAGCTAGCCGCAGCCACCTCAATGTGAATTCGATCCCTGGCCCCAGAGGTGACCCACATGGTGCAGCAGACCTCTCCTGTCTTACCCACTGCTCCCTTCAGCAGTGTACTTTATTGATCTGCCTGTTCTGCTCCCCACTCTGTCTCTGGTGAATCCTGTTACCACCCCTGCACCTCTGGCTTATTCCCCAGTTCTGTATGCATAAATAAATAAATCCTTACCCAAAAAAAGGATTTTACTCAGGGAAGAGACATAGTTATGTTTTAGAATATGTCAGGAACAGTGTGATGGAAGTATTGAAGTAATGATGAGGAAAACTGATTGTGGTGCCAGTGAGGGTTTACTTAGAGTAGCAGTAAATATGAAGAAGAAAAATTGAATACCTGAAAAAGGTTAAGCAGCAATGATCTACTGGATTTGGTCACAGACAAGATTTTAAAAGAGGAAAGGGGAAGAGTCTAGAATGACTTCCAGGTAAGTTTAAAATGCAAGTCAGTGTTTTTATTTTGGTCTTTGAAAAAGTTAATTAAGTTTCCTTTTATGAGGCATTTGTGTACTGATTTATTTAAAGTATTAATAGCTTGCTAAATATACTTGGCTGAGGTCATTTGATCTTTAAACTGTTTTGATCCTTTCCATACTTATTTCCAATAAAAAAAAAACTTTATTTTCCAACTTTAGTTCTCTTCATTTTATTCTAAATCCACTTTCTGCATAATCTTGATGACTTAACTAACTAAATAATATTTGCATGGTGACTTTAACAAATTTCAGTAAAAAATTACAGTATCTCTCCATATGTAAGAGTTAGATCATTTGAAATATATATAAATATTTTAGATTAGAATTTCAGTGTAGATTTAAAACAATAACATGTGTTTTAGGTGCATCAGTTAGATAGCAAAAGGTATTTTACACTTCAGTAAAGTCTTCATAATGATTCATTTTGTTTATTTGACTAGCCTATCATATGGTCAGCTACCATGTAAAGAGGTCTTAATTTTAAAAGAACAGGCAAAATAGACAAAATGCTGGTTAAATTTGCAGAGATTCCACAGAGAGGAAGAATGGAAAAGACAGAGAATAGCAATATTCACCTCTGCGTTACTGCTTACTCCCATTTCTCAATTCCAAGTATTTAGTTAAATACTTGCTGGATTTTTTTTTTTTTTTGTATTTTTTACTGGACTTATAAAAAACTTAGGCTTGATACACTTAATAAGTTATCTTTCTTTTCTTTCTTTCTTCCTTTTTTTTTTTCTTTTTAACATGTAAAAGCACATATTCAGAGCTAATTTTTCCCACGTGAAATGGGCCTTTCCAGTGCTTATTTATATTTACAGGATGGTTTAATACAGCAGTGTGGTGAGACAATGAAGGAAACAATTAATGTGAAAACTGTATGTGGCTATTACACATCAGCAGGGACCTATGGATTAGATTCTGTAAAGAAAAAGTGAGTTACCTTTCTTGTTTTTCCTCCCATTCCACTTTTGGGAATTAAGCTACTTTGGTTCTTTAAGAGAATGGGTATATATAAGAAAGAAAGGGGGAAATAAGAGAATAGAGTTTTATTATAAAAAGTTCCTTTTTATATTTGGACTGAAAATAAATTCCTCAAAAATATTGTGTTAACAAGTGACCATGGATGAGTTATATCTACTTATAAAAACTTTGGTCACTAATAATATTTTTAAAGGAGTAAGGTACAGTAGACATATTGCAACTACTGGTAGTGTTTTTTACTCTTAAGACTTGTAATATCTATTTTCAGATATAAAGAAGATAATAGAAGTATACAAAATTCTTCATAAACCATGTAACACATTTGAATTGAGGTTTTCTTAGAAATACTCTATTAATATAAAGGAAATATTCTCTTAATAATTTCTCACAAAAACAATACTAAATTTTCCATATTTTTAAATTTGAGTATGTCTAGCAAGACTAATAACCTGTTTTTATTTTACTATAAGTCCTACTTAGTGAATGATAAATATATGTTAGAATATAAAATTATATATTTTCATTTCAGGTGCCTTGAATGGCTTCTAAACAATTTAATGACTCACCAGAATGTTGAACTTTTTAAAGAACTCAGGTATTTTAATCTTAAATAACTTTATAGTTAATCACCCTAAAATACTGTATTTCACTTGTTAAGGTATGCAAGATAATTTGTATAAAAAAACAAATGCATTAAAGTGAACAGTGGAATGTATTTTGACTGTAATCATGAGCTGAAGATATTACACAAAATTCACTCATTGTTCTAAATGATTATTGTGTATATACTATGTCTTCTGTTTTAACAAATTTGCAGAGAAAAACTCATTGCTGTTATAATTTGAGGAAAGTTTCAATTTTGCTTGGCTCTTTGAGAATCTAAAATTTAAACACTGTCTTTACCATTGAGAAATTAAGTTTGAGAAAATTTTGTTTGTTAATATTTTTTGCTAAATCTAATGAAGGTAAATTCACACTTAGTTTGGCCTTTTAAGTCTACTGCTTTTTACCTCCCTGCCTCCCTTCCTCCCTTCTGAAAATATTTACTAACTGTCCACCATGTATAGAGGTACTCTGTTAAGGCCTGTGAAGGATTCAAGATGATTTTGTCATAGTCTTAGCCCACAAGAGCTTATTCCTAATAAAATGGCTGGCATATCTACCATAGGTCTCAGAAATGGAGGGTGGGAAATAACTTTTAATCATCAGTTGGCTTTATAGTCATTTTTTAAGGCTTGTGTTTTCTTGACATAGTACTTCTGAGACAGCTATCCCTAGGAATATATGGCATTCCCACAGAAATGTAAAAAAACCAAAGCACTGAACATTGTAAGGCAAAAGCAAAGCATTTCTCTGATTGGAATGGGGGACAAAGAAGTAGGAAAGGTAAACATTTTTTGTTTAAGAACATTATGGAATAGAAGGGACTCAAGTTTCTTTGAATCTTCAAGATTAAATAGAGTAAACAGAAATATAATTATGGCTACACTACCTCCTAGATTCCTAGAGCCTTTCCTTTCCTCTGCCTTTCAGAGATACTTAGGTAGAAAATTTTGAGAAGCATTATTCTACATAAAAATCATCACTTAATGATGTCACAGTGTAAAGTTCTGCACTATATGAAAGTCATTAGAAACACTATTCTCTTAAAATTTCTCACTGAGGTTTTTCAAAAGGAAGGTAACTTGAGATACTGTTCTAATGACCTTTTATGACCTAAAGGAAGAAAAGATAAAAAACCAAAAACCCCAGTGATACCCTTTTACTCTGAATTTGAACTAATATGTATTTCTTAATTTTCCTCTTTTTAGTAGTAATAAAAATGTTTGTTATGACTACATGATTCTCTTAGGCCTATTGGGTTTTTAAACATTGTTTAAACAATGTTTTTAAACATTGAGGTAGAAAGGCAAAGTAAGCCTGACACTTTCTCATAGTACACTGAAAATTTTTGTATTGGGAACTTGCTTTAATTTGATTCAGTAACAGAGCAAATCTGTTTCCTTATCAGATCACAAAAAGACCTTTCATATCACATTATCTGAATTAAAAATACACTTGCATTAGATTATTTTTTGTCCAGGATTCTTTAGCTTGGACAAGACTAAGCTTTAAGACTAATGTAACTTCTAATTTCATACTTAACTTTTTTTTTTTTTTTAAGATTTATTTAGACATATAGAACTGGGGTACAGGCTGGAGGGGCAGGGCTATGAGAGGCTTCACCTGAGACAGAGTGGGGAGCAGAACAGGCAGATCAACAAAGTATACTGCTGAGGGGAGCAGTGGGCGAGTCAGGAGAGGTCTGTTGCGCCATGTGGGTCACCTCCAGGGCTGGTGATTGAACTTGCACTGAAGTGGCTGCGGTTGGCTTGCAGTGCTGTGTCCTAACCTAGTGCACCACCAGGGAGGGTCCCCATACTTTCTTTTAATAAGACTTCCAAGTTTTTGGGTCCATCAGGGTCGCTTAGCCTATGTATGAAAATAAGCTCACTATTTCTATTTTATTTTTTCTAGTATAAATGTTATGAAACAACTCATTGGCTCATCTAATTTATTTGTGATGCAAGTGGAAATGGATGTATACACAGCTCTTAAAAAGGTATTAACATAATATAACTGTAAGAATGTCACCTCAGCATTGCTTATAATTCTGAAAAACTGGAAAGATCTTGGTGTGTAGTATCAAAGGAAAGGTTATAAATGGAAGAAAAGTACAAATAAGTATATGAAAATGTTAAAACATCTGTGTATCATAAGTGATTTTAATTTTGTACTTCATATATCTATAAATTTTTTTTAAAGATTTATTTATTTATTCATATAGAGCTGGGGTACAGGCCAGAGATGCGGAGGGTGAGAGGATTCACCAGAGACAGAGTGGGGTGCAGAACAGGCAGATCGACGAAGTACACTGCTAAGGGGAGCAGCGGGCGGGTCAGGAGAGGTCTGCCATGCCATGTGGAACTCCTCCGGGGCAGGCGGGGCAGGCGGGGATCGAACTCATAGGTATGAAAGTGGCTTAAGCTTCTTAGTGCTGTGTTTTAACCCACTACACCACCAGGGAAGGCCTATGTATATTTTTTATCCTAGAAATATTTTCCTTGCCATGTGTTTTCCCCTAATAACAGATATATTATTTACATAAACAGAAGTGTTCAATTCAGTTTTCAGAGTTGAATTAATTACGGTATTTTCATAATACTTTTTATATATATTGTTGAAATTCTTTTTTTTAAACCCTTATTTCTAGTTCAGGTATTTGTTTCACATCATTCTTTAAAAAGGTTACAACATTTTTTTTTTGAAGATTTATTTATTTATTCATACAGAACTGGGGTACAGGTCAGAGTTGCAGGGGGCAGTGAGAGTATTCACCAAAGACAGAGTAGGGGCCAGAACAGGCAGATCAATGAAGTATACTGCTGAGGGAAGCAGCGGGTGGGTCAAGAGAGGTCTGCCGCGCCATGTAGTCACCTCCAGGGCAGGCAGGGATCGAACTCATGGGGAAGTGGCTTTTGATTCCTAGTGCTCAGCTTTAACCCGCTGCGCCACCAGGGAGGGCCAGGTTACAACATTTTTAATGTAATTGTGTTTCACAACTCTCTACAGAGATAAATTTACTATTATTTTACTATACAAATGTTAAGATTTAGAGTTCTTACAGTTACTGTCAGATTTGAGGTGGAATCCAAGTCTCAGTAGTTCTAGTCTATTGCTTTTACCATTGCATAATTTTGCCGTAAAGCTTTTTGTCTACAGTGTGGAGTCTGTATTTGACACGGTTGTAAAATCTGAAAATGAGACACCTTCTAGGTTATATTACTACGATTGTATAATGTTAGAGATGAAAATGTATTACTACTTTTCATCAAAGAAGTTTAGAAACTTGATTATCCAGTCATTAAATGAGAATGGAAAATCCACTTCTATTGAATCAGTGGTAATGTTCATTTTTTTCTTGTCATAGCTGCATTTATACCTACAATGATAAATGCTTACATTTTGCCAGAAGATTATTCTAGATATACTACAGATATTAATTCTCGGGTGAAATATATCAATGTCCCTTAAGGTAGACACATTACCATGTTTGTTTTACATGAAAATTAAAGTTCAGAGACATTAAGTAATTTGCCCAGCTATTTAGTGTTAATAATTAAAAAGTCTGTCATCTCAACTACTACATTCTATCTCAACAGCAGCCAAACTCCATTCTCTTTGTTTAATTTCTTACTGTTTTAATCTCACATATCAGTATATATAGTAAATTGAGTTGTTAGTTGCTATATCAAATAAAGGTAATAATGTAAGTGATAGATCTTAAAGCTTTACCTTTTTAGTATTGTAACTTCAGTGTGTTTGAGACTATAAATATTTTTGAGGAAGTATTCACAGAATCATCTAGTTTTTATTATCACATCATGATTAATTCCATGGTGAATTTAAGGCTTGTAAGCTTATCAAATAATAGTTCTACTTCTTTCCATTGGTTATAAAATGGAAATTAAGGTATTTTAAATTTATTTTTTAGGTGGAAGCAGTTCAAATGCAAAGTAATTAAATTACGATGTATATATTTTTTTATTTTTTAACCTAGTGGATGTTCCTTCAACTAGTGCCTTCTTGGAATGGATCTTTAAAACAGCTTTTGACTGAAACAGATGTCTGGTTTTCAAAAAGGAGAAAAGGTTTGCCTGAAATTTTCAATGAGAACCTTTTTTAAATTGTAGTTTATTAAAATCAGACCCTGATCTTTTAAAGACCTGGAATTTAGAGTTGGAGAGGACCTTTGCTGATAGCTTATTTGCCCCTTCATTTACACTAGAAAATTGAGTCTAGATGAAATAAATGCCTTGCCTATTATTAACTCATTGACCTGACAATCTATTTAGATACCCTACACTATTGTTTGTTTTTTTTAATCAACAGTATAGATGTTCAAAGTTGCATTTATATTTCATTGGATTACATTGAATTGTCCCTAACAATTTTAACCCTATCAGGCAGCACTTCTTAACATGGGAAGTCTATGGACAAGCGTTAGTGTGTCACTAAAAACCAAAAGTGGATGTAAAGTTTTATATTTGTGTGTATCTTGCGTGCATTTTGAGGGAAGGAGAGTTTCCATTTCCTTTCACCAGATTCCTAGAGGAGACTGAACTAAAATGTGTTAAGATCAAGAGCCATAGGGTCTTATTTGAACAGAGATGAACTATAAAATGTAGGTATCTGCTTTTTGCTTTGCTGAAACAAATATAGAGTAAAATTAATGGCTTTATATTCAAAGAATTCTATAAATTATAATTCTTAATTCATGATTTTCTTAGTTCACATCATTTTTGATCTATGCATGGCCACCTTTTTTATTTTTAATAATATATTGCAGCTCCACAAACTGATCTTTGGTACTAAAGCATTAATAACTTAGCTCACTCATATACTTGATTATTTCTCTCTAACTTTCCCCAATCATTATCTTCAATTAAGTGTTCCTAAATTTAAAAAAAATACAAGTTATAACACTATTCACGTTTGTGTTAACATGGATAAGTGCTGGTAAGCCACCTTTATCTAAAAAAAAAAATCTGTATGGATTTGAGTTAGGAAATCCCACATACATAAAACACATTTAAGCAGGGCACAAAACGTACTGAATTTTTTTTTTTTAAAACGTACTGAACTTTTAAACTATTAACTTCTCAATAAAAGAAATCTTTAGGAACGTAAAAATCTACAAATTGCTATCAAGAATAGATCAAGAATCTATTGTCATTAAGACAAGCATAATATTAAGTTAGAACAGACATTTCACAGAAAAGGAAACATGGCCAACAATCACATTTAGAATTGTTCAACCTCTTTAGTTTTCAAGAAAATCACAATAAAAACCACAATATAAAATAATTCAGTATCAACTATAACAAGATGATATATTGTCCAGTGGTGTGCTGGAGCTGTGACATACCGGCTCCCTGGAGTTGATGGCATGCATTTCTCCCCAACTCCTCATTCAGTAATGTGGGTAGTTTGAAATCAGCCATGTTGGGAGAATTTATATCAGAAGTTTTTGAAATGTCGCAAATCAAGCTCATGAACCAAAAATTTGTAAAGGACCATACCAATATATTTAAACTTGATTTACAATATATTAAGCTCAAGTAATACTTTACAAAGAGATATAGACATGTAAATGATCAACAAATTAATTTTAAAAATATACTTTGGTGCTACATTTTGGCAATTAAAAAGGTCTTAAAGAAGTAGAGGAGAAAAGTTAAATTTAAAAAATAGTGAGGGGGAGAAAAAACTGAAAGAGATGAGTAGTGTAGAGAAACTATAAAGATAAAAAAAGGCCTCAGTAGAAACAGTGGATATTAAATAAATGTTCACATAAATTTTGTGCTCATTCATGCTCCAGATGGATTAACCACAGCAGTCCATAAGAAAAAAACTCTGTAGTTCAGGTTGCAGAAATCAAATTGGGATGCTGCAGTACACTTCCTGTTTTCCCTTTCTAGCCTCTCCATCTAAGTAGTGTAAAGCATGTAGTTTTAGATAACATTTATTCTACAAAACAAAATATCATGTTTTATCATGTTTTCTCATGATGAAAGTAAAAGTTTGTTTTAATTAGTGTTATAAAAATGATGAATACTCAGGAAATAGGAGAGAAAAAAAATAAGTAGGGTCTGTTCACCCATTATGTTTTAATATTTTTCTCAGATTGTCCTAATTGACTTTTCTAGTACATGTAGGTCAGGATTACCAGAAAAAAATCGAAATTTAGAAATTTTTCTATAGTTATACATTATTATTTAATATTTCTTTGGTATCTATCTAGAGTCAAAAAAAATAAAATGGTATTAAATTTAGTGCAATTAGTGTGACTAAATTTTGACCAGCTAGAATCTTTAAAGCATATTTCTTTGATTCCATGAATTGGAAAAAAAAAAAAAAAGAATCAATCCTTCCTCTGTCATTGAAGAAAAGGCTTCATGAGGTAATTTATAGATTTCTCTAAGAAAATACAACATTAAATTTTTATAGCTTGTTTTGTGATGGAGCAACTGTAAGATGATTATGGTATTGCTGGTATACCTAATGAAATTGGCACATTTAATTAAACATATGAAGTAGAACTAATGTTGGTTATTAAAAAAAAAGACAAATCCATTGTTAGATGCCTGTTATACAAATAAGTAAAGTTATATTTTAAAACCTGTCTACTACTTTCTTACTTCCTTTGACTCTAGATAGATACCAAAGAAATATAAAATTATTTTCATTAGCTCAGCTGTCATTTTGCAGTTTTCAGGAAAAAAATACTATTAGTGAACAACTCCTTTCCAATTTATAGCAAACCTGTTTTCCATGTGAAGCATAGTATAAGGCATAATAATCTACAATGCAGCTTTCAACGTTTTCCCCTATTCTCTGTAGCAACAGGGCTTAATATGTACACTCCATAGGCATATCTTTCTAGAATAGAAAATAAACTAGGAATATATGCAAGATCCTGTTTGATAGCAGTAACTCTAGGTCTTTCCTTCCCACTCATGAAAGCACATTGGAATGCAATTGAAAGTAACTATTTTTAGAACTAACCTTAAAATCTTCCTAAAAGACAAAAGTTCATATTCTTCATAACTTCATTTCCTTTAATAATAACTACTACCTAGGTATTGCAAATCCATATCTTTGTGTCATATTTTGATTTCAATAGATTATTACTTAGTGTTCATTACATGTAGCTAAAACACAAGTTAGGAGAATCCCAAGAAATGTTCATGCCTGTCCAAAAAAAAAAAAAAAAAAATGTTCATGCCTTTTGTATTTTGTGAATCCCTTGAAGAAAGCATCTATATCTTTGTGTCATATTTTGATTTCAATAGATTATTACTTAGTGTTCATTACATGTAGCTAAAACACAAGTTAGGAGAATCCCAAGAAATGTTC